CGGTGCCCCCTCACTGCCCCTCCATTCTGTGTACACAGAGCCTTCTCCTGGAGGAAGCAGCATGTTCCCAGTGAAGGCGGAGCTCCTCATGCAGGGTATACTCTGTGACCTCTCACTAATTCTCTCCCTCTCTCTCTGTCTCTAGAGATGTGTCTGGGGCTCCCCCTTCCTCCGGAGACCCCTGTCCTCCTCCGCGTTCCTCCTACAAGCTGCGGACAGTCAGGGAGTGCACCGTACCGCAGGGGCGGAGCCCTGACACCTATAACCACCAATCAGGATGAACCCTTTCCCCCGCCGGAGCTGGATTTGCGTTTTAGTCCTGATAGGTCAGATGAAACCTCCCGCCATGATGTGTTTCCTGAAAGCAAAGACCTCGGAGAACAAGATGGCGGCCGATCCAAGTTTCTGCGTCCCACGACATTAGCGCAAAGCTAAAATTTCCATGAAAAATACAGTGAAGTTCAGTTTAGGGCGCGTACATGCAGCAAATTAACCCGTTAACCTCTTCCCGTCCGGACCATGTCCATAAACGACCAGATGGGAGCGCTGCCGGGAGTGAGCGGCACTGCGATCGCTGTATGGGATCTCTGTGTGATCATGTGATCAGTGAGTGGCAAATCAGTGATCAAATGCAGAGTAGTAAGCAAGATGTCACTTCTGACATTATTGCTTACTACGTGTGAAATCTGTGAATTATCACAGAGGTCACATGGTACAGGGCCATTCACAACAGCCTTGTACCATGTGACAAGCTGTGACCCATCACAGCTCACACAGCATTTCTCAATGGCTGCAGGAATGCAGCCAGAGAGGAGAAATGATTGCTTTTACAGATTTATGGGAGTAAGAGCATTCAGTGTAAAAAAAAAAAAAAAAAAAAAAAACATCTTCATCACCCCCCACAAGTAGTACAGTGTCACCATGGTGACCCTGTACTGCTAGGGTGACAGTATGTAAATAATAAAAAAAAAAAAATTAATTGAGAAAAATTATAATTTTTGGTTATAAACTAATTTGGGTTATTTTTTTTTTTTTACTAAAAAGATAACGGAAGAAATTTTGGCCAAGATTTATGATGAAATATTTATTTGCAACATTTTATAAGAAAAACACTTTTTTTTTCAAAATTTTTGGACTTTTTCATTTATAGAGCAAAAAAATTAAAATCCCAGTGGTGAATAAATACCACCAAAATAAAGTTTTCTGTCTAAAAAAATGCTACAATATTCATATGGGTACAGTGTTGCATGACCACGCAATTGTCATTCAAAGTGTGACAGCACTGAAAGCTGAAGCTGAATGGCTTCTCCTCTCTCTCTGGGGGGGGGGGGGGGGGTGTCCTGGGGGGGGGGGGGGGGGGAGTGTCCGGACTAGAAAGTGTCCGGGGGGGGGTGAAAGTGTCCGACTGGAGGGGGGGAAAGTGTCCGGACTGGAAGAAAGTGTCCGGAAAAGGGTGAAAGTGTCCGGACTGGAAGGGGGGAAAAGTGTCCGGACTGGAAGGGTTGAAAGTGTCCGGACTGGAAGGGGGGAAAGTGTCCGGACTGGAAGGGGGGAAAGTGTCCGGACTGGAAGGGGGGGAAAGTGTCCGGACTGGAAGGGGGGGAAGTGTGTCCGGACTGGAAGGGGGGGAAAGTGTCCGGACTGGAAGGGGGGGGAAAGTGTCCGGACTGGAAGGGGGGAAAGTGTCCGGACTGGAAGGGGGGGAAAGTGTCCGGACTGGAAGGGGGGGAAAGTGTCCGGACTGGAAGGGGGGAAAGTGTCCGGACTGGAAGGGGGGGAAAGTGTCCGGACTGTGTCCGGACTGGAAGGGGGGGAAAGTGTCCGGACTGGAAGGGGGGGAAAAAGTGTCCGGACTGGAAGGGGGGGGAAAGTGTCCGGACTGGAAGGGGGGGAAAGTGTCCGGAGTGGAAGGGGGGAAAGTGTCCGGAGTGGAAGGGGGGGAAAGTGTCCGGACTGTGGAAGGGGGGGAAAGTGTCCGGGGGGGAAAGTGGAAGGGGGGGAAAGTGTCCGGACTGGAAGGGGGGGAAAGTGTCCGGACTGGGGGGGGGAAAGTGTCCGGACTGGAAGGGGACTGGAAGGGGGGTGGAAGGGGGGGAAAGTGTCCGGACTGGAAGGGGGGGGTCCGAAAGGGGGGTGAAAGTGTCCGGACTGGAAGGGGGGGGAAAAGTGTCCGGACTGGAAGGGGGGGTGAAGTGTGTCCGGACTGGAAGGGGGGGAAAGTGTCGGGAACGGAAGGGGGGAAAGTGTCCGGACTGGAAGGGGGGTGAAAGTGTCCGGACTGGAAGGGTGTGAAAGTGTCGGACTGGAAGGGGGGGAAAGTGTCCGGACTGGAAGGGGGGGAAAAAAGTGTCCGGACTGGAAGTGGTTAATGGTGTATGTAGAGCCTGACTCTCGTTCCCGGGTGATGTCCAGAGATGAAGATGAGTATCTTTCTCCCTATTGCCAGGGCGGGGGGGGGGTAGTGGAAGGCTCTCCCAGGTGGGGGGCAAGGGTGTTGTTGGTCAATGTCAGGCTTTCTCCACGAGAGGGACAAGGGGGGGGGGGGTTGGTGTTGGTCGGTGTCCGTGGGTCGGACGATGTTAGTGTTGCCTAGGGCAGCACAAAACCTAAATACACCACTGGGTGGGTGGCCTTCTTCACCATCTTACTACCACATATAATGCCCCAGGTGATTTGACGACAATTCACACTATCAGCCGATGTAAATGGAGGAGCTAACGACTATAAAGGTTTCCTGACACCAACAATGGGGTTATGTAACTAGGACAGGATGGTGCCACTTTCACACACCCACATCCTGCTCTTGGACAATCCACATTTCCATGTTCCATGGCAATCAGGGTGAGGTGACCTAAGTTGTGAATATAAATGCTGAGCATCTTTGTGAAACTCTTAGACAGACTTTCTCAAGAGTTTTACCCGAGGAATCCTTGAAATAATTTTCAGGTTTCAGGAAACCCTTGCTAAAATTAATTCATTGGTGATCAGTGGGCAGAATGCTCCTTACATTGGTGGCCTGTTGGAAGAATGGCCCTGACATTGGTGGCCGGTGGGAAGAACGGCCCTCGCATTGGTGGCCGGTGGGAAAGAACGGCCCTCGCATTGGTGGCCGTGGAAAGAACGGCCCTCGCATTGGTGGCCGGTGGAGAAGAACGGCCCTCGCATTGGTGGCCGGTGGGAAGAACGGCCCTCGCATTGGTGGCCGGTGGAAGAACGGCCCTCGCATTGGTGGCCGGTGGGAAGAACGGCCCTCGCATTGGTGGCCGGTGGGAAGAACGGCCCTCGCATTGGTGGTCGGTGGGAAGAATGCCCCTTTTTGGTGGCCTTTGGGAAGAACGGCCCTCGCATTGGTGGCCGGTGGAAGAATACGGCCTCGCATTGGTGGTCGGTGGGAAGAACGGCCCTCGCATTGGTGGCCGGTGGGAAGAATGGCCCTCGCATTGGTGGCCGGTTGGGAAAACGGCCCTCGCATTGGTGGCCGGTGGGAAGAACGGCCTCGCATTGGTGGCCGGTGGAAGAACCCCCATTGGTGGCCGGTGGAAGATTGGCCCTGGCATTGGTGGCCGGTGGGAAGAACGAAGCCCTCGCATTGGTGGCCGTGGGGAAGAATTTTGCCCCTTTTAGTGGTAATCATTTGAAAGAGTGGCCCTTGCATTGGTGGCCAGTGGGAAGAATTCGCACCCCCCCTTTTAGTGGTAGTCATTTGGAAGATTGCCCCCTACAATGGTGGTCAGCAGGCCACTCTTACAGACCGTTAAAAAGATCTTTGGTGTCCTGCCGTTGGCTCTTCAAATAGGCATTGGGTCCAGAACTATTCAGGCACCATCAGATTCAGCCACAATTCAAAGGACTCTACCTCTGGAGGAGCCCCCAGGGTTCCATGGAACACTGGTTGAGAATGGAAGGTCTTGGAACCGAAGAAGTGGTTTTGTCGTGGCGGAGGCGGAGTATATGAGGGTGGGGAGGGGAGAGTAGTCTGAATCGGGTCGTGTAGCGCCCCCACAGTGCCGTGGCGGAGTATAATGAGGGTGGGGGAGGTCACTGGCAGTTGAGGTGACACCCTGTAAGGGTGGTGATTGGCTACAAGTCTCATACCTTCCCCAAGGTATCAAAGTGATCCCACCCCCAAGTGGGAGTGGCATACTCAGCACATTACCTTAGCAGTGAGCTTACCTTCAACTGACTACTATGGTCTGCCATTCTCTTTATAAACTCCTCCGGGATCTGTGAGGGTCAGGTCACGGAGAGCCCGTCCATCTCATTCCCTTTATTCCTAGACATGTCTGCTCTGATGTATGTGTAGATGTATACCTCCTACACTGAATACCGTACTCATACATGACACACAACCGCTCAGCCCTTATCCCCGGATCACACACTGACATACCCACAATCCTTTGCAAAATTTATGTAAATAAGAGGGGCGGGACTTTGCCACCTACCAATCAGAAAATGGGGGCGTGGCAACAGAGCATAGGGGCGGGGCAGCAAAGCCTTGGGGGGGCATCCCTATGTCCTCCCATTGAACTTTTTCAGGGGCGTGGCTTTTGGCTCTATAAATGTGGGGGGCGTGGTACCTATCTAATTGAGGGTGGGGAAAGGACTGAAACTCCGCCTAGGGGGAGGAGTATAGTGTATAACTCTTCGAGGGGCGGAGAAGTGGCGGGGTCAGAATCCTCATCCGCAGTGATGGAAGGGGCGGGTCTCCATCTAGGGGGAGGAGAATACGAGGCGGATTCATAGAGAAGCAGGCGGAGCCCAGTGGATTGAGGACACCTGAAGTGACAGGCTGCCCTCCTTTCTACTTGCTGGTCGCTCCGCCTCCCTCTATTTCAGTTGTTCCAGCTGTCTGTAACCACGCCCCTCATTCTGTAGATGGGCGTGTCATGAAAGTATCCAGGCCCAGAGAGTAGAGGACTCTTCCATTGTTATGTAGTGGAGGGGGGCAGCTGTCCGTTCATTCCTCCCGGTGCACAGTAGCTCCGTGTACGGTACCCGCCATGTACCCGGCTGTCCTCTTCCTCCTCCTCCTCCTGGCCCCCTCCCTGCAGAAGGAGCGGGACTTCTACACCTTCAAGGTGGTGAATATCAGGGGCAAGCTGGTGTCTCTGGACAAGTACCGGGGATCGGTGAGTCGGAGCCGGGAGATCCCCCTACTAACACCCCGATGGCCATCGGTCATGTGGAGCGTGCTGTCCCCGCTATTAACCTTGTGTGTGACGTCTGAGCGATCTACATGAGCGATCCGGACCGGGATCTCTGCAGATGGCTGTACAGCGTGTGATCCGAGCAGATCAGGGATCAATAATGTCACCGATCCTGACATCGTCCAATGTATGTACAGGGGGGGTCATCCCGGGATCACAACTTCCCGGCTCATAGAGGGTTAACAGTCTGTGATTCCCCCCTCCCCCTCCTCTGTGAGCTCTTCCAGGGATGAGGACGTGGCATGGATCCGATCAGAGGGGCTCCCTACACCATGCTGTATACTCAGCACTGATCATCAGAGGGCCTCATTCACAATCACACTTTATGTCATGTAGAAGTCGTGCGGGAATATAAACGCCTTTTAGATCACCCCGATCACTTCTTCCTGCATTTAGATGTTCCTGCCTTACAGGGGCTCGTGTACCCCGGATGCAGCCAGTCGTGTTTATAAACATGGTGAGAACGCATGTGAAGAAGAAAAATTGGACGTATTCCGCTGAGCCTGGTCTACACCATTGCAGCGCTTTCACGTGCGTTTAACTGAAGTACAAAATGCTGTATTTTTTCACTTGTAAATGTAGCGGAACGCAGCAAAGGCATGGAAATGCAACTTAGTATAAAAAAAATACATAATGGCTAAAAAACGCACCACAAATGCAACAAAAACTCACTGCAGCCACATTACAGATCCATGTGAACGCACCTGAAGAACTGCACGCTGCTGCCAGGATTGCAGTGCAAACAAGCAGGTTTAGGTGTGTTGGAGCGTCTGATCGGGTCCTGAGCGCACAATTCTCATTTCTATAAACAGCCAAACTGATCAAAGGAAAACGCACAATGTAAACGGCAGTTTTGAATAACTATTATGTGCATTTCTATGCGTTTTGGAATTATTCTCTAATTCATCGTTCAAACATGACAGCTGATCACAGATCACAGTAAAGGGCCAATCACAGCTGATCACAGATCACAGTAAAGGGCCAATCACAGCTGATCACATTGTAAACAGACTTGCTGGTTATAGGCAGTCCTTTCCTCATACGCTGTCACAGCATGAGGACAGGAGAGTTGGTAACCAGCAATTCTGACGGGTCATTTACACTGATAATCAGGACACTGATCATCAGAGTCCTGATGATCAGTGTTGCCTATCAGTGCTGCCTTTTCAGTCCAGCTTCATCAGTGCCCATCAGTGCTGTCCTATTAGTGCAGCCTCATCAGTGCCCATCAGTGCTGTCTTATTAGTGCAGCCTCATCAGTGCCCATCAGTGCTGTCTTATTAGTGCCCGTCAGTGCTGCCTTATCAGTGCAACCTCATCAGTGCCCGTCAGTGCTGTCTTATTAGTGCAGCCTCATCAGTGCCCATCAGTGCTGTCTTATTAGTGCAGCCTCATCAGTGCCCATCAGTGCTGTCTTATTAGTGCAGCCTCATCAGTGCCGTCTTATTAGTGCAGCTTCATCAGTGCCTGTCAGTGCCGTCTTATTAGTGCAGCTTCATCAGTGCCCGTCAGTGCTGTCTTATTAGTGCAGCCTCATCAGTGCCCATCAGTGCTGCCTTATCAGTGCAACCTCATCAGTGCCCGTCAGTGCTGTCTTATTAGTGCAGCCTCTTCAGTGCCCATCAGTGCTGTCTTATTAGTGCAGCCTCATCAGTGCCCATCAGTGCTGTCTTATTAGTGCAGCTTCATCACTGCCCATCAGTGCTGTCTTATTAGTGCAGCCTCATCAGTGCCCATCAGTGCTGCCTTATCAGTGCCCATCAGTGCTGCCTTATCAGTGCAACCTCATCAGTGCCCGTCACTGCTGTCTTATTAGTTCAGCTTCATCAGTGCAGCCTCATCAGTGCCCATAAGTTCTGCCTCATCAGTGAAGCCTCATCAGTGCCCATCAGTGCTGCCTTATCAGTGCAGCTTCATCAGTGCCCATTACACCGCGTTCCAAATTATTATGCAAATTCTATTTAGGTGTCACAAAGATGAAATATTTTGTTTTTCAGTTTAACTCATGGATGGCATTGTGTGTCAGGGCTCTTTTGATCACTGAAAACAACCTCGGACACCTGTGATAATTAGATTGGCTGGTGAGCCCAATTTAAGGAAAAACTACTAAAGGAGGGTGTTCCAGCTTCACAGCCAGTTTCCTACTGCGTATGTGTGAGCCACTGCACTTTGTGAATGGTCCCGCAGTCTTCTGGGACCTGTGAAGTGTCCTAGGAGGCGGCTGGGGGAAGGATAAGGGCTGAACTACTGCACAGATTGCCGTGGCGAAATGACCAGAACTGGGAGCGGGTATCTGTCAAAACCAGGTACCCACTCCCCCCAAAAAAGTGCCAAACGTGCCAGTGGAGGGGGGTGCATGCAAAACAATTTTGGGTGAAGTTCCATTTTGGGTGAAGTTCCGCTTTAACATGTCAGATCTAACTGAAAGGCTATCATGTCATGTGCTTAGAGTTTGGAGTTGATTGCAACATATTTTTCCTCTGCAAAACTGCATGTACTTTGTGAATGGGGGAAAAATCAAATGTTACTAGGCTATTTTTTCTCCAGGTCGAATGTTATTCATTCATACAAGTAAAGTGAGTTAAATACAGTGCCTGCAGGACTTTTGGTGCACTTTCAGAAAACACACCAAAACCGCCTGATCTAACGGAAGTGTATGGCAAAGTGCAGGTCACCCGCATGTACACCGTGCTGTACCCGCAATGTGGGGAAACCACAGCAGAGCAGGATAAAAGGGACCATAATCTTCTGCTTGAGTTTTTGTCTCCTTTTTCTTTCCAGGTGTCACTGGTGGTGAATGTGGCCAGTCAGTGTGGATACACAGATGGTCACTACAAAGCGCTGCAGAAGCTCCAGCGGGACCTGGGGCCTTACCACTTTAATGTCTTGGGATTCCCATGTAATCAGTTTGGACATCAGGAGCCAGACACTGAGCGTGAGATTGACCAGTTTATCAGGAAGCAGTACAATGTGTCCTTCCCCATGTTCAGCAAGATAGCCGTCACCGGTATTGGAGCCAATGCTGCATTCAAATATCTGACTGGTAAGAGATTGGTGGTTCATTAGCTTTCAGCACTGAGAGATTGGTGCTGGTGTGTAGATGTATGAACTCCCTCACAGTAATCCACTTTGTAACCCTAACACTCCGCACTAAAGCCAGCCATAGACGGAGTTATCCGGCTCAGCGGGAACCGTCCGAATTTTGATCCATCTATGGGCAGCAGGAGGGATTCCCACATGGTCAGTCAATCGATCAGTTTTCTTTCCGTTAACTCATAGTGGAAGAAAGAAAGTTGTATATTCATGTCCAGCACTAACACTAACTTTCACCCTAACCTTTTCTGAAGCCTCAACACTGGACCTCCCTGAAACCCCGCCTCTAACAGTGGACCTCCCTGAAACCCCGCCTCTAACAGTGGACCTCCCTGAAACCCCACCTCTAACAGTGGACCTCCCTGAAACCCCACCTCTAACAGTGGACCTCCCTGAAACCCCGACTCTAACACTGGGCCTCCCTGTAACCCCGCCTCTAGCAGTGGACCTCCTTGTAACCCCGACTCTAACACTGGACCTCCCTGTAACCCCGACTCTAACACTGGACCTCCCTGTAACCCCCCTCTAACACTGGGCCTCCCTGTAACCCCGCCTCTAGCAGTGGACCTCCTTGTAACCCCGACTCTAACACTAATCCTCCTTGTAACCCCGACTCTAACACTGGACCTCCTTGTAACCCCGCCTCTAACAGTGGACCTCCTTATAACCCCGCCTCTAACACTGGGCCTCCCTGTAACCCCGCCTCTAACACTGGGCCTCCCTGTAACCCCGCCTCTAACACTGGGCCTCCCTGTAACCCCGCCTCTAACAGTGAACCTCCTTGTAACCCCGACTCTAACGCTAATCCACCCTGTAACCCTAACACTAACCTTAACTGAAACAATAAAGATGGCCAAACACTAGTAGAATTACATTTGAAATCTTTACATTGAACAATGTTTGTTTGATTTTCCATTTGCTATGACTTGCAGAGGCATGATGGAACTTGTAGTCCTGCAACAGCTGGAGAGCCGCAGGTTGCCTACCCCTGCAGTAGTGGAACGGAGGTTTCCTGTCCCACTCCTATAGAAAAATAGAGTTGGACTGAGCGCTGCTCAGCCATTCACAGGAAGCTTTGTATTCTATGAATGAGTACAAAGCTTCCTCTGTTTGGCTGAGGCTGGTGGATGATGTCACGGTCTCCACCTTAGACGATCAGAGGAAGCGTTGTATTCATTCATAGAAGCACTCAGCCTAACTCAATTTTGTCACGGGAGCGGGACAGGAAGTCTCTGTTCCACTGTCGGGACACAGTGCTGTATAAAAAAATGCACCTGTTAGTGCAGTAAATAGTTTGTTTCAGCCAGCTTAGTCCAAATGAACTATAAAAAGACATTAAATGTAGAGTTAGGCTTTAAAGTGTTTCTAAACCCAGGACCCTGCATTCACTATATCCAGTTTCCCTGGACCCTGCATTCACTATATCTGGTCTCCCCGGACCCTGCACTCACTATATCCGGTCTCCCAGGACCCCGCATTCACTATATCCGGTCTCCCCGGACCCTGCACTCACTATATCCGGTCTCCCCGGACCCTGCACTCACTATATCCGGTCTCCCCGGACCCTGCACTCACTATTATCCGGTCTCCCCGGACCCCGCATCACTATTATCCGGTCTCCCCGGACCCCGCACTCACTATTATCCGGTCTCCCCGGACCCCGCATTCACTATTATCCGGTCTCCCCGGACCCCGCATTCACTATTATCCGGTCTCCCCGGACCCCGCATTCACTATTATCCGGTCTCCCCGGACCCCGCATTCACTATTATCCGGTCTCCCCGGACCCCGCATTCACTATTATCCGGTCTCCCCGGACCCCGCATTCACTATTATCCGGTCTCCCCGGACCCCGCATTCACTATTATCCGGTCTCCCCGGACCCCGCATTCACTATTATCCGGTCTCCCCGGACCCCGCATTCACTATTATCCGGTCTCCCCGGACCCCGCATTCACTATTATCCGGTCTCCCCGGACCCCGCATTCACTATTATCTGGTCTCCCCGGACCCCGCATTCACTATTATCCGGTCTCCCCGGACCCCGCATTCACTATTATCCGGTCTCCCCGGACCCCGCATTCACTATTATCCGGTCTCCCCGGACCCCGCATTCACTATTATCCGGTCTCCCCGGACCCCGCATTCACTATTATCCGGTCTCCCCGGACCCCGCATTCACTATTATCCGGTCTCCCCGGACCCCGCATTCACTATTATCCGGTCTCCCCGGACCCCGCATTCACTATTATCCGGTCTCCCCGGACCCCGCATTCACTATTATCCGGTCTCCCGGACCCCGCATTCACTATATCTGGTCTCCCACAGTACACAGAACATGGAAATGCAATTATTTTAGTAAATATAAACCGCTGAATACCTTTTCTCATCATCAGTTAGAGCAGTCTTCTGACTTCTATCAGTGACCAGCAGAGCACTGGATATAGCTTGTAGGAGGAGTTTTAATTCTGCTCTAGGAAGATGCAGGACCCCTGACCTCTGTCTGGACAGCGCTGATTGGCCCTGGGCTGATCGCATGCACTCTCCCAAGAAAAAAAAAAATCCTCTCTAGCAATACACACCAAACTGAGCATGTGCAGAGTGACTCCACACGATATGTCTTATCGGGATAGGAGGAGGACACTGGAGGAAGGGGATGATCAGAGAAATTAAGATCAAACAGCCTTTTTACACAGTGTGGAGGATTAACCCCTTAGGTTCCACAGTGAGTATAACAAGCATGCTTTACTGCATATACAGACTGATTTTACTGTTGTGGGTTTAGGAACACTTTAAGTAACACTTAATCTCATCTCTGTCTCTCTGCTCCTTCACCTATTAGCACATGAACACTGCATTACAACCAGTTGTCTTTTTGGGTTGCTTGTCCCTCCCCCAGTCTGAGCTCTACTTTGAAAAGGATTGCAAGAGGCTGATACCAAATCAAAGTCAGGCACTTGCACAACTTTCTTGGAAAAACATACCTTTAACCTCCTCCGACCTGCCATATAAGGAAATGATGGGCGCAAGGCGGTTCTTTTGTTCTGGGAGGACGTCATATGACATCCTCCTACTCTAACCGCACATGCGTGGCTCCGGGGCGCACGATCGGCAGTGCGCTGTGTCCCTCGGACATAGCGGATCACTGATCAACGGAAAGAGCCGAAGATATCGGCTCAGTCATGTGATCAGCTCTGTTCAATCACAGCTGATTGCATGTAAATGGGGAAATGCCGGTTATTGGCATTTCTCTCCTCACGAGCTGTCATGCTGACAGCTTGTGCGGAAGGGAGACCCGGTAATCGGCATTCCTCAGAGGGGACATCTACACTGATCATCAGGGCACTGATGATCGGTGTGCCCTGTTGATCAGTGTAGCACCAGCAGCGCCACCTGCCAGTGCCCATCAGTGCCACATCAATGCTACACATCAGTGCCAATCAATGCCACATATCAGTGCCTACCAGTGCACATCAATGCCACATATCAGTGCCCATCTGAGCTGCCTTTCAGTGCCACCTATCAATGCCAGTCAGTGCTGCCTATCAGTGCCCATCAGTGCTGCCTATCAGTGCTGCCTAACAGTGCCAGTCGGTGCCACCTAACAATGCCAGTCAGTGCTGCCTATCAGTGCCAGTCAGTGCTGCCTATCAGTGCCATATATGACTGCTGCCTTTCAGTGCCCATCAGTGATGTCTGTCAATGCCCATCAGTGCCCATCAGTGCAGCCTATCAGTGCAACCTCATTATCACACATTAGTGAAGGAGAAAAATCACTTATTTACAACATTTTATAACAAAAACTAAGAAAAAGGGTTTTTTTTTTCAAAAACTTTCAGTTGTTTTTTTTTTGTTTAGCAAAAAAAAAAACCCGAGGTGCTTAAATAACACCAAAAAAAGCTCTATCTGTCTCAAAAAAATGCTAATAATTTCATTTGGGTACAGTGTTGCATGACCGCGCAATTGTCATTCAAAGTGTGACAGCGCTGAAAGCTGGAAATTGGCCTGGGCAGGAAGGGGGTATATGTGCCCTGTAGGCTTGTGGTTAATGATCTAAAATTAAAAAATGAGTGCTTTTGTTTGCATTTTTTATATCTAACTGCTTGGAGTTCAGCTTTGTAAATGTTTTTTTTTCTTTAAATCCTAGTACAAGAATATTAATCCCATGCAGCAGACCATGAGATGACACTGTATGCAGATCAGGCTCACCTGCGTTGTACAGTGCTGTCAGTCTATCATTGGGAGTTTGCTGACAGGAGAAGAGAGCAGAATGATCACCTCTCTAGTGTTCTGCTGACACTTCACTGTTCAGCCAGCAGGTGGAAAGTGACCAGGCTGTATTGCATAAGTGCAGTATAGAATAGTGAGGTCAGGAACCTAGCGTCTGGCAGGCATGCTACAGATTAATAAACTGTTGAATACAAATCTTCTGACATGTGCTAGATGAGTGATCCACCTTTATCATTTTGTAGTTATCACCTATGTATGTTTTGCAGAGTCTTCCGGCAAAGAACCAGACTGGAACTTCTGGAAGTATCTGATTGGTCCAGATGGTAAAGTGGTGAATGCATGGGGTCCAACCGTTTCCGTGGAAGAGATTAGGCCACACATCACAGAACTCGTGAGGAAGCTGATCCTGAAAAAGAAGGATGAACTATGACACCTATTTGGCCTCCTCTAGACAGCTCAGGGAATAGGACGCTCATTTCTGAAATGCAACGTGCTGCGTCTGACCAATCAAATCATCCAATTTTATACCATATTACTGCCAGTGGGCATTACTGATTGGCTGAGAACATCGACAATAAAATAAAAGCAATAAATGTTAATATTGGCGGTCATCTCTCACAATAAGAAGACAACATGACACAAGAAGATCTCACGGACTTAGAAATAGGCATTTGTGACATTACGCGGTAATTACATGGCTGGCTGTGTGACATTTTATCCGTGTCGCTCTGCTTGTTCATCTCTATAAAGGGCAGAAATGGTCATTTTCAGGGATTTTTCTGTAGGCTAAGGTATTTTGTTATTCAAGAAATAAGTATACCATGACTGTGGAAGAAATTTCTACAAATGCCACTAGACATGTTTCCAATAAAATGAATAAGCAAACGTATTTTTCTGAGCAAAATGCAATAATGGGAGTCAGAAGGTTAGCAGAATTCCTCGCTCCGTCTCCTGTGTATTGGTGTGTTCTCTGCCTTCTCGTGAGCTTTTTATTTCCAGATACAACACCTAGAGATGTGGGATCCGCAATACATTGTGCTGGCGGTCCTAATGCAGCTTGTTGGTTGACATTGGCTTTGAAGGGCAGCCCACCTTGAAATTATAATTCAATTCTAGATGGAATCTGCTGGGCTTGGATTTTGATATCATATCTGAGCTCAGCCAAATCCCCCTGCTATAGTTGCTGACTTCCTTGCATTTATCAGAATATGACATTAAAGCAGAAGTAAATGCTGAATGTTTTATTTTGTACCTTAAAGTGGTATTAAACTCAAAACTAAAAATTTAATGTATTTCAGCTTACCAATCATTAGATATGGTGGCTGCATTCGTTTTCTTTTTTTTAGGCTTTTTCCCTTTTGTTTTCACCTGGTGATCTGGCCAGTAACACACCTCCTGTATTAGAGTGGCCCCCACTCTTGATGAAGGAGCAACAGAGACACCTTTGGACAGCAGAAGTTACTGGGGGGGGGGGGGGGGGAAGGGAGTGTTTAGGCCCCATGTACACGGGACACTTCTGAACGATGGAAACTGCTGGAAAACATAGGTTAAAAAAACGTCTGTTTAGCCGCGTTTATGCTTGTTGGCGTTTAGAAGCGTTTTTTAGAGATAAGCACAGGAGAACCTCACAAATGCCCAGAATTCACTGAAAAGTGGTAAATTATTAACTATTTCAGACTGTTTCAGAGAAATACAGAGAGTAGAAGCAGAGACAGCAGTATGTGTTGAAATTAGCTTAGGTGTGAGTTGCTCATTAACATTTCTTTTTGTTTCCAAGGGTGGGAAAGGTATCTGGTGGAGTGAATCATTAAGGACACTTGGCAGGGGGTCTTCATGAGGAATTTGAGGTGTGAATGGTCATTAACATATCTTTTGTTTCCAAGGGTGGGAGAGGTCTGAGGTGTGAATTGGTCATTACAATGTGTGAGGAGCTTGGTAGGAACATCCTGTATTCAGTGTTTTGTCCATCTGAGTACCTTATTTTGCATGCATTATTCATGATGAAAAAAAGGCTCTGGACAGCATCGGGAACTGGAAGAGTTAAAAAAAAAATTCAAACGCTTATAAAGGGGATTTGCCGCGTTTACAAGCATTTTGCGTTTGAAACTCTGATCAAATCAACTGCTGAACGCAAGTTTTCTGCATTAAAAAAATGACTAAACTCAAATGCCTGTAAACGACTGTAAACGAAGATGTGTACATGGACACAGGAAAACATTAGGGTGCGTTCAGGGACTGCCGAAAAAAAATGCTGAACAGCTCCTAAATGTGAGTTTATCAGCTGCAGTGTACATGAGCCCTAAGATGTACTAGCAGATTTATATATACTAACAAGCTAAAGCCAAACTCCAGCTCACACTGCAGTCAAGCAATCTTAGCAACAGTTTTGGGATAAAAGTTTTACATGAATAAAGAAAGCTGATTATTGTAAGCACTCTGTCAGTGGTAAATGCTTTGTCTCAACACTGTAACTGTTACATTTACAGGAGAGCTTGTACTGATGAATAACAACAGACTTATTGACTAGATCACCAGGGGAAAATAAAGGAAAGAAAGCCTTAAAAAGAAAACCAAGGCAGCCACCACAACTAAGAATTGAATAGCTGCAATATAACAAATGTTTGCTTTTGGGTTTAATACCCCTTTAATGTATTCTCTGCATGTAAGCCTAAGTCCATGTTTACTGTGCCTTTAAATGGTTCATTTGGGCCAAGCTGACCCAAACAAACTATTTTCTTTATTAGCTTTGGGCAGCACAGTGGCTAACTGGTTAGCACTCCTACCTAGCAGCACCTGGGTCATTAGTTTGAATCCCAGCCACGGCACCACCTGCCTGGAGTTTGTATGTTCTTCCTGTGCCTGTGTGGGTTTCCCCCAGGTACTACAATTTCTTCCTACTCTCCAAAGACATGCTGGTAGGTTAATTGGATTCTGTCTAAATTGGTCCTAATATATGTACTGTATGTATGAATGTGAGTTATGGACCTTAGACTGTAAGCTCCTTGAGGGCAGGGACTGATATGAATGTACAATATATATGTGTAAAGCGCTGTGTAAACTGATGGTGTTATGTAAGTACCTGTAATAATAATAATAGGTGCACTTGCTGGGTGCGCTGTATAACCACTTAATCTCCAGAAGATTTACCCCCCTTTCTGACCAGGCCATTTTTTGCATTACGGAGCTGCATTACTTTAACTGACAATTGCACGGTCATGCAACGCTGTACATAAATGAAATTGATGTCATTTTTTCCCACAAATAAGGCTTTCTTTTGGTGGTATGTGAACACCTCTGTATTTTTTACTTTTTGCATTATAAACAAAAAAAGACCAACAATTTTGAAAAAAAAAAAAATTTTTTGCTATAAAACATATCCAATTAAAAGAATCCCACTAAGCATACATTGACTAGTTTGTTCAGAAGGTATAGCGTCTACAAAATATGGGACATATACTGGAATTATTTTTATTTATTGTTTTTAATACTAGTAATGACAGCGATCAGCGACTTATAATGGGACTGCAATATTTTGGCGGACATTTTTACACTAACTGACACTCTGTGGGAACCAGTGACACTAATATAAGTGCTAATATTATGATCTGACACTGTATTAATGACACTGGCTGGGAAGAGGTTAAACATCTAATGTGATCAAAGGGTTAACTGTGCGTCTAGCTATGTGCTTGGTGTACAATAGGTGGTACTTTTATTGGGGGAAGTGAAGGATCATGTTCCCAGCTTTGCAGGGACACACAATCCTTTACTCCCCCTATCAGAACAGAGCTCTACCTTGTTTACATAGAAAGAGCTCTGTTCTGTGTCCTGCCCGACGATTGGTGGCTGCCTGTGGACCTCTGTTCACTGGCACTTGCAGATCGGCTTCAGCTGTTGGTGTTCACAGCAGAAGCGATCTGCTGGAGGCGCACGTGCGCTCCCCTGTGGTAGGAATGCAAAATCGTGTATATACAGGGCGGGCCTTAAGTGGATAAACTATGTGTAGCCTCAGCTAAATACGGTATACAGTGCTGTAACACAGGAACTTCTCATCCCTCTCCCGGAACAAAATTCAGTCGGGCTAAGCTGTGCCCAGCCATTCAGGAGGCTTTGTATTCTTAGAATTTATACAAATCTTCCTCTGATAGGCTGAGGCAGGCAGATGATGTCATGATCGGAGGAAGCTTTGCATTCATTCTTGGAGAACAAAGCTTCCTGTGAATAGCTGATGCTACATACAGTTTATACAGCACTTCCCGCAGCCACATCTGCTAGTGAAGGCCATGGATCCTTTGGGTCAGTTTGCCCAAATTTAACAATTTAAAGGCAAAGCAATCATGCCTTAAGAAATGCCCAGTAGCATGGGATTGTACACCCCATTAACACCCATCACACTACAACAACATACCTAAATTATGAAATAAAAACACGATAAAGGTTGTGGGCAAACCTTACGCCCCGTTATTGGGTTTTAATACATTTTAATTATGAAATAAAATTTAAAGTTTATTAACAAACAGATCCACTGTGAACCATTAACATACCAACATGCTTAGTCACCGAGACTCAAGCCACAATATCTTACACCAAGCAAATAAGAGTTTACCAACCACTCTTCACCAACAAATATGGGTGATATTACCTCATAAAGATGGGCCGAGATTGGGGACAAATAGAGCAAAGGGGAAGGCGGTTTGCTGGGGGGAGAGATTGAAGGTCCACAAGGAAGGCTGAAGAGAATCCAAAGGTGAGTCCAGATGACAGAACTGTTGACCCCCTCCAGTAACGGGGAATATACAGGTGAAAGGTTACACTTATTGGCCAGATGTTTTCCTAAGAAAAAAGCATCAACAGAGGAAAATCCTAGCAACAGCAGGCAGGTTGTAACCTGAAACACAAGACTGAACAAAAGAAAAAACCACCCCTGGGAGACATGGAAATATATGCAAAACCAAGCCCAATTAAGGTGGAAAAAGTTCTGAAATTATTTGTCTAATTTTTTTACATCACAGAAACCTGACATTTTAATGGGTGTGTATACTTTGTATATCCATTGTAGCAAAGAGACAGCCAAAATCCAGCAAAGAGACTGTCCAATCCAGCAAGGAGACATTCCAATCAAGCAAATAGATAGCCCAATCCATCAAAGAGACATCCCCATATAGCAAAGAAACATCCCAATCCAGGAAAGAGACATCCTTATCCAGAAAAGAGACAGCCAAATCCACCCCCGCAGCTTCGCAACAGAGCGGGACTGTTTGGCTTTTACACTGGATCAATGTAGGGTTCAGTGTGCTCACATTGCTCCCAGTGTGTGATGGCCTTCCCCACCCCTGTGCAGCTGTCACGGTGTGCTGGCTGGTGAAGGAGAGAGGCCTCCATTGTTCCTTCAGTGTTGGTGTATCTGCAGCTGCCAGCCTGGGAAGTGTG